AAACAATATTATTAATAAGCCAAATTCTCTTATTAATAATAACTATTAATACTTAATGAAAACTATTATTAATATATTATTATTAATAAACCCAATTATCTTAATAAATGTTTATAAACAGCATTATTAATAAGCACCAATTATCTTAATAAATTATTAAAACAATATTAATAATATTAATAAACCCAATTCTCTTATTAATGTTAATAATAACATTAACAACAGCCTGCCAGAACTTACTGCCATGGGTTTCTCCAGCAATATGTGATATCCTTTTTGCGCAAAAGCCACCGCTGGTGCCTAGTGGAAGGAATAATAATAATAATGATGATGATGATGATGATGTTTTAATCCAGAGGTGAGCAAACCTCTGTGGCCCAAGAGCTGCACTTAAGATTTTGGGATGACCAATGATAGCTGTATGGTGCAAGTGGGTATGACAGAGATATTCCCCCCCCCAAATTTTTTTGGTGGGAAGAGGATCTTAATTTAACAAATCTGAATTTCTTCTGGTTCAACTGTCTTGATCCCATTTTAGAATGACCCTCCCGTTTACACAAATCAGCGTCGTAATGTGAGCCACTTAAGGATGGGGAGACTCAGATTCAAATCCTGCCTGAGCCAGTTGGGGTCTGTTTCTCTTGCTCAGTTGGGCTACCTCACAGGGTTGTTGTTGTGGGGAGGAAAGGAGGGGGCTTCCCCCCCCCCAATGTTTACTGCCTTGAGCCCTCCGGAAAACAACAGAAGGCGAGTGGCATCACAAAGAATTAGTATTAATAAAGAAAAAAGGAAATGGGCCACCGTTTTTTTTAGCATTTGCGATCACGGGTAGGCAAGGTCGGAAGGGACTGAAGTTGCCCACCCGTTTTAATCCGCTCCAGGTTTCGGCAGATAAACATCCTTCCCCCGACACAAACAGGTGATATAAAAAGGGTTCCGGTGCTTCAAAGATCTTCTTCTCTCTATGCAAACTTTATTTTCATTTTCTGCTCCCAGCGACTCAAACCCCCCGCAAATGACAATACAACAAAATTGCAATTAAAAAAAAAAAAACACGAGTGGGAGATTTTGGACGTACCTTATGGAGTCTGTCCGGAGTTGTGATGATGACAGCATCCGCAAACTTTTCTCGTTCTGCTGCGGCAACCCAATCTTAAAAAAAAAAAGAGAGGAAATGCAGAACACTAAAGAAAAGGAATTAGCAGGTTCGTCGGCGCTTTGCAACCTGCCAGGCCATTTGCAAGCACGCCTGCAACTCTTCTCGCGGTTTGCAACGCATCCCCTCGGCTCGGACTCTGCCCGATGGAGATAAATAGTTATTTCTGAGCGTGGCCCATCCGGAGGAAAAGGAAGATGGAAATGCAGCAGTTGCTCACCGTCAAAGACATTCTCCTCTCGGATTTTGTGGGCATCTTGGAATTTTTTCTGGGCCAGTTCTCGGGGCTCGGCCACGCCGATCACCTGCAAGGGGGAGAAATCACACCCCTTTGAGACACCCTGCATTTCCCTGGTCTAAAAACCAGATTGGCATCCAAAGAAGTGTGCAATGAAAATACGATCAGACTTTATTGCTGTTCTCCTGGCTTTATTGGGGATCCTCTTTCCAATGATCCCAAGTGGATAACGGCAGCTCGTGAGAGTTTTTAAATTTTAGGACGATTCAATGGGGGGCCATAAGGATGTCTGGCAGGAATGGAAAAAGACGCCTGTAAAATGGAAATTTGGAAAAATCAAGCTTCGATGGATGCTGATCAGTCCCTCGTCATTGAGTGTATTCATGAAGCAAGGAATCCTCAGAGCCCCCCGAAGGAAGATGATTTAAAAAAAAAATGGAAAAATGCAATTTGGGTCTTTTTTTATCTTAAAACAGGTAGAGGAGGCACTGGTGAGAAATTTTGAAAGGATCTGTGCAACTGTAAAGAAAGGGTTATGTGCTGTATTGCTTTGGCCCACCACCCCAATCTCTGAAACACTGGATAAGAAGCACAATAGAACCGAAATCGGGTGCAAAGAACAAAATTAATTCAATTCAATTCAGTTTCTTTAACGGTCACCCCCAAGGACATTGGAATATAAGGCTAAGCAGCTGGGGGGGCACTGCTATCAAAAAGGCCTATCCTATTTTCCCGGCCTCCACTGATATTGGGGAAGGGGGCAGGATTCTCAACAGACCCTCTTTTGAGGGCTGAATCGCACAGACAGAATAATATTGACTCAGGCGTATGGAATTTCAACATTTCTCATCCTCCTTCTGCTTATTATAGATGATATTCTCTATTATGATTTGGAATCAAGCTAATTGACTCCAAAAACCAAATCATCCTTAGCAGGCTGGGCACAGACGGGGCTAGGCTGTTAATTCACCTGGTTCAGCACCCTGGGCAAATCTGTTGCAAAATGAGACACGCCCAACCCATCCCAAAAGGGCCTTGGGCTTCAGTAGGAAATTAAAAGCTACTAAATAATAATTGGACTAATTATTAGTCACAATCCAGCGTCTTAGTAATGGAATTCTGAATAATCAGTAAACCGATGTTAGATCTGGGTTTCCCCAACCTCAGCAACTTTAAAATTGTGGACTTCAGCTCCCAGAATTGAAGTCCACTCATCTTAAAGTTGCTGAGGTTGGGAAACACTCTGTTAGATATTAAAGTGTAGCGGTGGAAACGGGGGGAGCCAGTTCTGTCCCCCCCAAATTTC